CTCTGGTCCCAGAGCCTGGTGAAAGGACCGTTGTTGGCACCTTGTCGTGGTGGATGCTATAGATATTCCGCATTATTTCGCAGCCACTTCTGCTCCAAAAGAACTTGACGATGCTGGGAGTTCTGTTTTGTCGCTTGGCTGTGACCAATTGATCGGTGCGTCAGGAGGCATACACATACAGGATCTGCTGCATCGCCACCTCAGATCCTGTACGGGCGGAGGGTTGGAGGGAGGAAGGGGAGGAGGAAGGGGAGGAGGAAGGGGAGGAGGAGGACAAGGAAGAGGACGAGGACCAAGAGGAGGAGGAGGAGGAGGAGGAGGAGGAGGAGGAGGAGGGGGAGGAGGAGGAGGAGTAGGACAGGAACCGTGTTACACCCAACTCGGAGGACCTTGCGGGCCACTGGCCAGCAAGGCCAGCTCACGTGCCGCATTATCGCAAAGCAATGTGGCGCAAGGTCAACCGCGACAGCACCAACAGGGACATCACAGACAGGAGGGCCCTCATCGCAGCGCCACCATGGGAAAGAGCTAAGGAGATCGCCGAGAACGACCTGATCTACCTCGGCCCACGCCAAAAGGACCCCACAGAGGGGAGCTGACCAACGCCTATCTGATCCACATTGTCTGGTCTCTTGTCCATGCAGGACTTCGAGGATGCCGCGGGGAAAGCAATTGTCTCCAAGACGTACATCAAGAACACATCCTTTATACCACCAGAGAGTACGGCAACGTCCTGAAGACCAGCGAAGCGCTGCCACCGCTGTCCTAGTTGACGGACGTGTAACAACCTGATTTTCAGTACCGGCAACCTGCGAACGACAGCGCAAATGCGTGCCCGGCTACATGCGCACGACGACGACCACAACGGAAATTGGGAACCACTGGTGGAAGTCGACGACAACCAGCTGGAACACCTCAGAAACCACGGGGCCGAATACCGCGTACCAATTACCAACGCAGGGGAGTTTGATCCAGCCAGGCGTCGACATCACCACCGTGGCTCCGTCCAGGACCGCCCCAGTTGAAGTTACTACGGTGCGACGCCAGCTGCCACGACAGGCACCTGATTGGGTCGACCTTGAGGAGATCCTCGCGCACGGCTCCGTACGATTTCAGACAGCTGACAGCCACAACCCCATGACGCACATCGACAACGACCTACGCCAAGCCGCCCACAAGGGAACGACCACCTCAACAGCGCTAGCTACGACCACGGCGTCCTCCCAGAGCTCGCGGGGATCGCACCGCGCAAGAGGGCCATCGAGATCTGACCGTTTACGCCTGAGGGGAACCAGATTGTCAGACGAGAACGATCACGCACCCCTCCGCGAAGTCACAACCCCAAGCCGCACGCGCCACAACATAGACGCCTCACCATCAACCTTGTGCTGCAGCCGCAAGCCCACTCCTTCGCTGCCCGCGTGCCCACCGCCGCTGGCATGCCCGCCAGAGAGCAGAAAGTGGAGCCCACTCTTGCTGGCAACGCGGCTGCAGGAGCTGGAAATCTGCCTCAGCATATCCCTCAAGCAGACGCACCAGCTCCCGTGCCAACACCCATGGATCGTCTGCCCTGCACCCAACACGAGACACTAGTTCAGCCAGGTCCACTACGACAACACCGACACCATTGCGTCAGCTTGGGACGACCCCAGCAATTATTTTCCGATACAATACTGGAGGGGCATCTCGGCAATCATCGACGAGTACTGCTACAACGAGCAGGGGAGCATGGTCAAAAACCACCGCTCGCACCACGACGCCCAAGACAACCGCCACCACCGCCGACACCAAGGACGCCATCGCCACCCGTTCGCTCGGTAGATGCGGATATCTCTGCCGCAAGCGACCAGGTGGCCAAGTAAACCAGAAGGACGGCCTGTACAAGAGACACCTAGACGCTATCAAGAAACACATCACAGGCATGACCATGGACGAGCTGTGGAATTACGTTGGGCAGCCCTCGGATCGAAGGCTAATTCAACGACCTGACGAGGAGCCATCGCGACAGCTCGGCGCACCCGGAAGGCGCCGCGAGGATCATCGCGGAGACTCGAGCGGCGAACCCGCCCGCGGCGGCGCGCCGCCCCGACGTCAACCAGCCCCCGCACCAACCGACGAAACCGATTGGACCGAGCACCTTCATCGCGACGCAAATGCCAAGCTAGACCGCACCAGTTGAGGAAATGGAACGCGTCCAGCAGGACATCCACTACTTCGTCAACCTGGTGACTGATGGTGACTGGCAGCCCAGCGCGTGCGCCAGTAGCACCCGCGCCGACCCACGGCGATCACTCGACGCCCGCAGGCTCCCAAACCGGCGCCCAAGATGGCCCGCCAAGCGGCCCAACCTTCGCGACCACCACATCGGCGAGCAGCAATGAGGCGGCCTTTGGCCCCGTCGCGACAGCGGCGGGCTCAGCGAGGGAGGGGCGCTGGAAGACCGCCGCCAAGCAACCAACAGGCCATGGCAAACTGCTATAGCCGCTCAGACCGCGCAACAAGTACCAGCCAAGCCGCGCAAGGGGCACCCCCCTTCCCCTGTGCGACGCAGTCGCGGGGCCGCAGGCGCGCCCCCCCCACGCGCCGACTCTGCCAGAGAGGGCTCCCAGGCCCTCGGCGACCGCGGGCGCGACCGCCGCGCGCGAGGGGGCCCACGCGTCCACTGAGGAGCCACCTCTCGGCATTCGCGCGGGGGCAACGATGACCTACGTTTAGCGCGACGCAGTCGGCAGGCTAGCCGCCGCCGTTGGCAGCCTCTGCTGCGACCCGAAGACTCCGCAGCTTGAGGTACGAGCTCGCAAGATCATCCGGGAGTGCGCAGGTAACTTCAAACCACCCAGAGACGTTGCGCGACCGCGCTGCGGATCCACATCGCATAGACCGTCTCGGGCACGACCAGGTCACGCACGACTTCGGAGAATCCCCATGCAACGGCTGTGGCGAGACAAGCAGTGACGGCGCGCCGCCCTGCAACGTGAGGGCCAAGCGTGCGGCGCCAGTCCGCTTCGACATCCACCAACTGTGCAGTATCTCCGCATGCCCAGTGGCTGAGGGCCGCGGAGATCTGCCTGCCCCATTCTCCCACCCTGTCCGATTTTGCCCCGTGCCCCAGCTACCCTGTTGATTCGCCGCAGTCCTCCATTCCAGCCAGCTGCCAGCCGCTTCGTAAGCGCGCCAGCTCTGCCTGGCGTTCAGTGCCCCGCATCTGCGCCTCACTCTGTGCGGCGATGGTCTGGGGCTTGATCTGTGGTGGGAGGTTGCACGGAGCAACCGCCGCCGGCAGCCATGGCGTTGGCCGCGGCAGCCGCGGACATTCAGCCGCGTCCCAGCCATCACGCATCCCGCCCACTTAAGTTGCAGCTGCATCGCTATTTCTTCTCTTGTTTCCAGCTGTTCCCACACGCTTTCAACCCGCTCTAGTGTCTCAGACCCACGCCGCGCCGCGGAGCCAAAATCGTGGGTAGGGGGATCATCTTGGGGCGGGACGGAAGCGCGACGTGTGGCCGATGGTGCAAACCTCCCCGCGCCTGGGAAACCCCCACCTGTCTCGCGGCGGGGGCCAGGGGGCTTCCTGACGGCAGGGGAGAGGCCCTTGTGCCATCCAACGTGGCGAGCGCGGCCATTGTCCACAGTTTATTAACGCCACGCGCCGCGCCGCTCCGGCTGCCGTCGCCGTTCGCCACCTCTCCTCACACCGCACCTCCGTGCACACTTTAAAGCCCAGTTCCCCCTACTCCACCCCCTTTCGCGGTGATGATGATATGCCCCCCCCTCCTCGTCCCCCCCCCCGACAAGGGTGCAGGGGGACATAGCTTAGCTACCCCCTCCCCCGGGGGGGCTCTGCCGGTCGCTTTACCCACTTATGCTACAAATCTACTGGTTTAATCACCCCCCCCCTTGGGGGAATTGTCCCTGGGGGGTATGGCTGTGTCTGGAGACCCCACTGCCACCATATCCCATATCCTCGGAGGAGGAGGGGGAGGAAGGGAGGGAGGGAGGGAGGGAGGAGGAGGAGGAGGGGGAGGGGGAGCAGGAGGGGGAGGGGGAGGCGGAGGAGGAGGCGGAGGAGGCGGAGGAAGAGGAGGAGGAGGGGGAGGAGGCGGAAGAAGAGGAGGAAGAGGAGGATGGAGAGGGGGAAAAGGACAAGGCAGGCGCGCCCGCGCCATGTCTGACATCCTCCCAACCCTTCGCATCCTGCCTTTGCCATTGCGCTGTTTTTAATGTCCACCGACGGGTGTTATACAGTCGGGCTGAGGTCTAATATCGAGGTTTCTTCGGGGAGGGTACCCTAGTGCTCTTCGTGTTTGTTGGATGTACTTGTGCATCCTGGGGAGGGTACCCTTGGATGTTCTGCCTATTTTGGCCGACGGAGGGTCTCATATTGTTGAGGGCTGTTCTTGTGGCCTGGGTCCGATTGCAGTGGACTTGGAACCTCCCAAAGGACTCCATCGTGTTGTGCGCAATCAGAGAAAGGGGAGCTGCGTACATTGGGAGCACGAGTAGCAGCATCCGCACGAGCAGGAGTGGGAGGAGCGAGTGGAGCAGGATGGCCAGGGGAAGGCGGGGGAGGGGAACAGAACGGGGCGACAACGATGAGGAAAAATGCGGGTCCCCGCGCTGGGGCGATATAGGTTTTTGTGAGCGACGGAAGCAAACTGCTGATCCCAAAATAAAGCCTACGCTGCTGCGGGATCTACACTGTGAAACACCGAGAACGTCGGATTGCAACAGCAACATGGTAAAACATGTGAATTCTGTTTCGTCGTTTATAATTATACACGGAGAGGGCGATATATTTTCAGGACGTGCATCGGGGGGGGGGGGGGGGCAGAGCGTAGCAGTGTTGATGTTAAGCAGTAGTAGAAGGGTGATGGAGGAGGAGGAGGAGGAGGAGGAGGAGGAGGAAGAGGAGGAGGAGGAGGAGGAGGAACTGGAGGACGAGGAGCAGCAGGAACAGTATCAGTTGCAGGAGGAGGGCGATGACACCCCCTTTGCCGCAG